TGAGACAGCCAAAAGACCACACAGATCCCATAAGCGGACTGGCTTCAGTGAAAAGACTAAGGTTCAAAGAGGCGACAGACTTTATCAAGGTGATATGACAGCTGGCTGCCTGCAGAAGTGGATGCAGGTCCCAGGTCTGGCTCTGGTCTCAATCACAGCCTAAAGCCTCTCTCCAGCCACAGGATTGCAGGGAAGGCAGAAAAAGGCTGAAGAAGATCAAAGGCAAGAAGAGAGAAAAAGAGGGAACTGGCTAGGATGGAAAGAAGGTAGGGAATATCGAGGTGACTGGGAAGAGAGGCTATCTGACAGATCCCACGAAACAGGGAGAAGGCTGCGGGCTTGAGCCTGGGGGGAGGGGTAAGAAGCAGAAGGAAGTGGATGATACTGCCTTGTGGGATGATAAGGCCTTTCCCTGAGGCAGAGGTTGTTAACTTCAGGGAAAGCAGCAGGAACAAGGCCAGGACAAGATACCGCGGTGCCCTAAACAACTTCTCAGGGTTCTTGCCTCAACTCCCTGACAGTGCAAAGGACAGAGGCCAAAGGTGCTGATGCCGAGGCTGCAGCATGTAGCTCCCCTTCCTGGTCTACCCAGCACCAGGAGACTGAGCAGGTAGCCAATGGCTCTCTCTCACAACCTGCTGGGGCTTCAGGCAGCTCCCCTGACCCCGAACACGCCACCTCTGCTGGTGGTATGTGCTGCCTGGGGTGCCCCAGCTCCTCACCTGCAGGGCACAGAAGCAGCTGTGCAGATTGTCCAGCCTAGGAGCAAAGATGAACTCATCATAGGCACCACCCAAGACCTAGAGAGATAAGATAGTCAGCCCAACCTGCAACCCTCCACCCCCACTCACCTGTTTCTCCTGCTCCCAAGGGTCACCTTGGTTTCCTGCGCAACCTCTCCCTTCCCTGACCCCTGGCTTAGAGCACTATTTTTTTTTTTTTTTAGATGGAGTTTCCCTCTGTTGCACAGTCTGGAGTCCAGTGGCTCAATCTTAGCTCACTGCAACCTCGGCCTCCCGGGTTCAAGCAATTCTCATGCCTCAGCCTCTCAGGTAGCTAGGATTACAGGCGTGCACCATCAGGCCTGGCTAATTTTTGTATTTTTCTTAGAGACGGGGTTTCTCCATGTTAAGCTAGTCTCAAATTCCTGACCTCATGTGATCCACCCACATTGGTCTCCCAGAGTGCTGGGATTCCTTGCTGGGCAGGACTGAGCAGAGACTGCAGAAGGGGGCTGGGCTGGTGCTGAGGAACAGAAGGGTGGAGGCCTATAGCTCTTGACCTCTTCCCGTGGGTCAAGAAAAGGAAGGGCTGAATTGTCAACAATAAGGCCAAGGAAGTAAACAGAGGAAACCAGCCAAGAAACAAACTTAGTTCATGTTCAAGCAGGACAGAGCATCCAAAGATATAGCAATCTCTGACCATCAGCAACTGGGAGACAGAGAACAGATGGCCATATCCAGGCCTCTTTCCCTAAGCCGTTCAGAGTCAGTGTGGGTCAAAGCAGACAGGGCCCACCTGTAGAAGAAACTCCTGGGGCATCTGTAAAAAGGGCCAATTCCCAGCCAGTCCTTGCAGGCAGGTCTGGGGTGGGGAACTTGTCTTTCTGAGAACCAGTGCCCGAGAAGCAGCGGGGGATGTGTTCACTGGGAGGAACAGGATGAGAGTAACTGAGGGCTTGGTGGAGGTGACAAGTGCTTCTGCAGGACATGCCAGGCGTGGCTGGGGTCCTAGAGGCCTCCACCCACAGGTTGCTACAGCCAGTCCTCACCGCGGGCTGGGTGTCTGCCAGGCAGAGCTCCATCTCTATTATGTCCTTGGGGCTCAGATCCAGATGGGTACAGAGCAGGGACATGAGGACCGAGTGGTGCCGCTCATCCTACAGGGCAGACAGATGTTAGGAAGAGTCCATTCCTCCTCTCCTCCCTCCTTCTCGGGGGACTCTGCTGCCCTCCCCATGATCAGGTGACTCTCTTACCGTAGCATTAAGAGGCCCTGGCTCTGGACTCCCCTTCTCCAGCTCCTCCTGGACTGCTGTGGCAAGAATGGGGACTCTGTGGGGAGACGTGGGTTGGGAGGGGATTGTGAGGCACAGCAGAGGCGGGCATCGGTGAATTCAGGTGTCTCCTGATGGGCAGCTGCCCCTGCCCTTCAATTCCCAGCCCACTCCCCAAATGGCAGGGCTGTGAGGACCCTTGGAAATTAACTGGGACCACAGAGTAAAATGTGACTGTGGCTACGATTAGGTAATCGTCACCTGGGACCATTCTCCATCCCTCCCAGCCATCCCTGTCCCCGCCCCAGTCTCACAGGTGCATCTCTGTGTTGGGCCCAAAGTTCTCGTTGATATTTCGCTGCAGATGGATGGCCAGGTGCGGGATGCGAAGAACGGGCCGCTCCACGTGCACCAGCCGCTGCTCCAGCTGACCTGAGGTAGGGCACTGCGGCCAGCCAGGCCAGGTCAGCCCAGGGTGCCTCCCACCCCAGTGGTAAGCCTTCACTTCACTCAGACTAACCAGGGTGGTTCTCTGACCAGACTGCCCCCAGCCCTCTTCCCCACAGGTTAACTGAGGAGTGTGGCAGACTTCTGAGGAGGCTCTACCATCCCCAACCTTGGTTCCCACCTTGACAATGAGGCGTCCAGCCAGAGTCAGGTCACGGTCAAACCAGGTGCTCCAGATGCCACCACCGTAGGTCTCCACACCGACTTGCTGGAAACCCACCTGGCTGCGGCGAGACCGACGTTTCACCTGAGTGTAAAGATGGAGAAGTCAGAGGAGGCTCCATGACGAGATGTGGAGATGAGACTTGGGCTACTCAAAAGTAGTAGACAGCGAATATTAATGTCACACGAAAGGCTCAAAGTGCAGAGGAAGGCTCCATCCCCCAGTTTGTACCTCCTGGTTCTCTTTCACCCTATAATCCCCTGACACCTCCTCCCACCCCAACACAATCCCAGTTTCTTACCCGGAGGCAGGGGCTATCCGTATGGGCCCCAATGAGGGTGAAGCCATTGCCAGGAACGTACTGGCCCCCTACAGCAAAAGCTATGATGGTGGAGGAATTCCTGGTCATGAAGTACTGAGGGAAGGGGGAGGAAAGACGGGGGGTGTTGAGTTGCATTAGCCAGCTGGCACACAGGGCTTTGAGACCCATCCCAGGGACCTACCTTTCCACCCCCACCCCACCCGCAGTACCTTGCATTCTGGCTTAATATCCCATTTTTCAGTCTCCTTGAGTTCACTGAAGCCAGCCTGGAGGAGGCGGTTGCGGCATTCAGCCACAGCTGTGGGAAAAGCACCCTCTCACAGTGATGGAAGCTAGTCGGGGGCACACCAGCCTCCACCCTCCTCCCTTGCCCTGGCCATCACTTACCGTGGAAAGGAGAGGGACTCCGGTTCACGAACTTGAGGAGTTCCCTGGCTGCAGTCTGTACCGCTTCTTTGCGGGCCTTACCGGTCATGGCCACCTAGGAGAGGGGGCGCTCAGATTCCTACGAGGTTTGGGACCCCTGACCTCTCACCCAGGTTCCGACGATTCTCCCATCCCCACCCCCACAAATGACCAACCCAAGGCACAGACCTCTGCTTCCGCCCGTCCCCACCGAGAGACCCAAACCCGACCCAAATCCAGGGCTGAAATTCTCCGTTGAAAGCTTCAACCCGCTTGCCCAGGATCACGACCCGGACCCGCCCACTAATCCGAGCTTCCGCCTGACTCCCCAAGTACCACCCCCAGGTCCCTGCCCAGCTAGGAAATCCAGATCTCCCAAACTCCAGGATCCTAAGCTGGCCGCATACTCTGAGGTGGCCTGCATCACGTGCGCGACCCCAGCTCGGAGCCAAAGCCCTGTGCCCCAAAGAACACCCCGCCTCCTCTCCACCCACCCAGTCTCTCGCAGGACTCTCCCTTCCAGTCCTGGGAAGGTCAGGTCACCCCCCGCGGGGCTTTCGGTTTCACTTTGGATCGGGCGGCCTCATCACAGCGCCGCGCTAAACTTGGGCCCTGGAGGGTGCCGGACCGGGTCTGGGATCGAAATTCAAGCGGAGCCGGCGGGGACCACCTACCTGCATGGTCCCGCGCAAGGGATTGTGTCCGCTCATCGGGCCCCCGCGCTCGGCCCGCCCCCGCCGCGCCGCCCGCCCCGCCCCTCACCAGCCCTGCAGGTCCTCCGCGTGCCCCTTCAGGCTGCACCGCGCGCCCAGGCCTCCATCAGGCTTCCTCGCCGCCCCGCCTCTTGCCAGGCCGTCCAGTCCCACGTCTGGCCTCCCAGCCCGTTCCTCTCCGCCCCGCCCCTCATCAGGCCGTCCCCGCCCACCCCGCTCCGCCACGCCCCTCTGCAGTCTTCCCCATTTTCCCCGCCCACCACGCTCCGCCCCGCCCCACGGCAGGCCACACTGCCCAACACGCTCCGCCCCGACCCTCACCACGGGCAAATGTCCGCTCCGCCCCTCGGGGGACTCCCCACCACCCGCCCTTGCTCCCCAGACCCCCGAGTTTGGCCGCGCCGCCCGCCCCGCCCCTCGGCAGACAGCACCGCCCGTCCTGCCCCTTGCCAGGCTGCACCGCCCGCCCCGCTTTGCCCCGCCCCTCACCAGGTTTCCCCCGTTCGCGCGGGCCCTCGCAGTTCCACCACTTGCCCTGCCCCCGCCCTTGCTCCGCCCCTCGTCGGGCCGCACAGCCCACCCCGCCCTTCTCCGGGCTGCACCTCCCGCCCCGCCCCTCTCAACCTTCCTCGTCCGCCCCGCCCCTCGCCAGGCCGCGCCTCCGCCTCTGCCCTGCCCTCGTCTCCGCCCCTGCGGGGGCTGCTCGTCAGGCCCCGCCCCTCACCTCCCTAGTTCTCCTCCGCGCTACCCGCTGCCGCCGCCAGGGCCCTCTGCCGCCGCGGAGGTACTAGAACAACCGCGAACGGCCCGACTCCCCGTGCCCTGGGCAGAGTCCAGTAAAAGACTCGCTCCCTCCAGCTCACCGGGTCCGAGGGGTACAGTACAAAGTGCTGTCTCCCGTCACAGTCGCTCTTGTGACAATAAAAGCAAAAAGGCTAATGTCCATGGGGCTCTCACGGTGAGCTTTAGCTTTATGATAAAGCTTGGCGTGTTACCTCTTTTAATCTTCACAACTGCCCCATCAGCTGTGTACTCTGTCCCCATTTTATGCAAGAACAAGCTGAGATACGGAGACAAGTGACCCGTCGAGGTAGTAAACGGCAGAGGTGGGGTTTGAACTCCCTCAGTTTGATTGCAGAGGCCTGGAGCAAACCTACAGGCTTCTCTCTGATCTTTTCTGGACCTTTTTCTATATGCGTTGGTGTTACGTTACACGGGAGGTCAACAAGGGACACAGACATTGATTTGCCCAAGATCACATCGCTGTTTGGGTGGATCTGGGATTTGACTCTGATATCTGTGCCCTTTCTATTTGTTAAAACAACAGAAAAAATTGCACGTTATTGGCAGTTCCAGTATTCCCATGTCAAGAGTTGTGAGTAGCACTTTTAAACTCCATGCACCTTCCTAGCTGCAGGAGCTGATCGGGACCCTTGGTGGCCTCTAGGTCCAAAACAGGGCCCAGTTACTAGGGATGCAATCAAAATTTCAGAGATCTCAGGTTTATGGAGCAAGCTGCCATTTATATACTTGGGGTGGGAGTGACGGGGTGGGGTGAAGAGAGGCTGGAAAGGTCCTGCAGCCCTCACTTCAAACTAGTAGATATGGCAGGGGAGTTTTCAGGAATTCACGCTCTAGGTGCTGACTTAAATTCATGACACTCCCTAACCATTTATTGAAATACCATTATGGGCTGGGCTCGGTGGCTGACGCCCGTAATCCCAACAATTTGGGAAGCCAAGGCGGGCTCATCACTTGCAGTCAGGAGTTTGTGAACAGCCTGGCCAACCTGGTGAAACCCTGTCTC